ATGACCAATCAAGTTCGTCAAGCACCAAAATAAAAAAGGCCCCCCGCCGGGGGGGGGGGGTTGTTGTCAAGCAAAACTAGTGCATTTATTTAGCTGGAATCCGTAATGTAATATGACCTCAAATATGGAATAAAAGGAAGCCGTAATTGTAGTGCAGCCAGAAAAGTCAACAACTTTCTTTCACCTCCTGAATAATACAACTAATAAGAGAAAAAATTCATTTTTGTCTCTAGGGATTAGTGATGGATCATGAAAAGATTTTTTCAGATCAACATCAATGGACAAATTTCCAACAAGTTATTTGTCATATGGACAAAAGAAAAGCTTGTTTACAAGAGGTCCAAAGGACCTTACATCCACGTTATTCTCCCCCTTGCCAAAGAAGATGCAAAGCAATTTAATCATCCTAAGTTTGTTAGGATAAACTAGAAAAGAACTTATTGACTATGTTTAATATAGCCAGCTGCTATAACTTATCCTTTATGCTGCAATTGAGGCCACCTTAAAGGTGAAATTCACAAAATCATAGTTGACCCATATAGAACATTAAGAGAGGCTAAAATACCTGTATAACTCCTTTTACTCTTCACATCAGCAGAGTTCTTTGCTTTTCAACAGATAAGAGCAGTTTCGAGTGCATGGCTAATTCAATACATTATAGAACAATAAGAAAAAACATAGCAAGGACTAGCATATCATCTCTATTCATCTACTGTCATAGCCAACATTGAGAATAACAAATTAATCTGGTAAACTTGATTGATTGATTTGCAAATGTCACTAGTCATCAGATTTGTCATCACTCTCAGAATTTTTTTGGGTGGTTAAAAGCTGAAAATCATGTGGTTTGTACGTTCCAGCATGCCAAGGAAATTTCCAACATTTGTCAAAGGATCTTATTTTGCAAATAAGGTATCTACTAAATGCTATCTTTTTCAGATATTTCATTTCTGGATTTACCAAAACTTTTATTTCTGCAATCATTAATACTCAATAATTTACACAAGCAGAAAAATATAGTTTACAACTAAGCCTCCCTTAGCATAGTTCCAGTTCAAACTAAAACAAAAAAAATTTCAACCATCTTGTTGACGTTCTAAAATGTACAAAGTAGACTCATGAGTCTCAAAATCACCATGAAAGTGAAGTTTCTTCTGCTTGTGAAATTGGTACTTAAGCTTAAGATACAAACAGGCCAAGTAAAAAAAGGAGGACAATATGCTTTTAGTTTATGGGGAAAAAGAATAAGGCAGAACAATACCAAAGGGTGATAAACTTGAAAACTCTGCAACAAAAAAAATGTTAAGAACATGATAACTTCATGAGTTCTCTCTTTCTTCAAGTACAGAATTAAGACTGCGGAAAACGGCATCCACTGCCAACTTTATGTTATTGTAGAGTTTTAAAGCCCAGCAGAAGTTGATGCATAAACTGATTAACCACGTGTACAAACAGTATAAGAAAACCCAAAGTTCACAGTCCCTGCCTGGATAAGCCAGTCACCCAATATAATGTAATGGACTGTTTTACGCTCATGTAACGGATTGATATCACACTTCAAGGATTGGTTAACCATTAATGGTTCATCAGGCACGAAGTTATTTACTGACAATCAATTATTTTATTGAATTTTCATTAACTACAATCAAATCGTCCTCTCTCAAATTCTCTCTGTTACAATCTGCAGCATCTTATTCTTCTTCTTCTTCTTCTTCTTCTTCTTCTGCTGTCCAACTCTTTCTTTTCTTTTTGTAAAAGCTCTCTCTCTCCCCACCCCCCATCTTATCTGCAATTTCTCTTGCTTTCCTCTCAATCTTGTCATTAGTTTATTTTGCAGATTTCTGTATTACAACAATGATTTTGCCTTTTAATGCTTCAAAGAGCATGTTCAGTCATTGTGTGCCTTGAAAAAGATTTCAGAGAGAGCTACCAGACATTTTTACTGTAAATTGAACTCAAAGGACAAAAGCTTCAGGTAGAAATAAAGTTGACCTCTATATATTTTTTTTCTTTAATTTTTACAAGAGTAAAGACATAGTGGAATAGAGAAAAGGATGAAGGAATAATAGACTCTATGTCTGAAACAAGAATTAAAAGCACTTTGACCACTGGGATTCAATCCCGTCCTTCTTCTCCCTTTCAAGAAATACATGCTTCTGATAGTACATAGAATATACTTCTCCAAATGTGTATTCTCCCTTCCTGCCAAATGCAAGCTTTCTTCTAATTCACTAGTATCAAAGTGCCAGAAGTCAGTGTCCACTGCTTGTAAAAATTACTGATAGCACTATGGATATTGACTAGGCAAAGCAACTACCAACCATCACTTCAACTTATGATGTATCCTCCCTTCATAAAACTCTAAAAGGGTGGGGTGGGAAGGGAACTCCATGGAAAGAATAAAAAGGAAAGAAGAAAAATCAAACTCAACGCAAAGGTTGAGTGATTCTCTTCCAAACAAGCTTCAGACCTGCAAGAGTTTACCAATTTTAACATTCCTCTTAGCTGAGCTTATTTGAAGATCATGATCACTATCATGCTATCCTTAAACTTTATTCTTCATTCCAAACATCACAAGTAAGGAAGCCAACTATTACAAATAAGTTCAGAGAAACAAAACGTGTAACTTAAAATGTCAAATTTCATCCCTCTATTAGATTTGCCTTCAAAGGGAAAAATCATGAACCTTTATGTGAATCCAACATTGACATCAAGAGATGGCACAGAGACAACAATTCAGGAAGCCTCCAAACAATGCGAAGATCCTGTATTGGAGGCTAGTGATAACAAAAATGAACAGGTCATATATCCCTCGTCGACAAAGAACTGATAATGTATCTACGCTAAAAACCTGGGTCTCAACAAGCCAAGACAAACAAGAGCCCTCATAAACAAGCAGATCAAATCCTCGCATCAGTGCTCAAACCATCTACCTTGCCTTACAACAATAAAACTGTAACAATGCAAGAAAGAAAGAAATATTCCTACTTTATTACCTTCAAGTACTCATGAAACCAAAAATATTCCACCAATTTTAGTTCTTGAAGGTCACATACAAATATCTAAAATTCTCAGAATCTTTCTTTTCTCCAATTTCTGAATCAAATTCGAAGTCCATCTCAAATATCTCAATCAAATGTTAACAAGCATCAGTCACGTCAAGTTCCAGTTTTTACATTTTCTGTTATGCCCAACTCCATGCTCCTGATACTCAATGTCATCTCTTTTCCTTACACAATTATATCTACATATTAGATAAACAATTCAAAATGCAACCAAAACCCAACAATTTAATCTCAACATTAACATTGAAAATGAAAGTACTGTAAATTTTCTTGACAAATTCTTAAACCCAAAGCACAGTAGACCCACCAAAACAAAAATTAACTTAAAAAGATAAGAAATTTACTGAAAGCAGATAAAACCCATTAATCATAGCACATCCCACAGATATTCAAGAAGGGTTTAAGCAAAGTAAAAAGATTTTGAAAAAAAAGGGTTCAAGGAAAGTTACTTGGATAACATCTTCAGCACGGTCATTGCATCTATGGGGCTTTGGTTGTCTGTGGTCACCCTCAGGCATTCCCCATGGACTTTCTCTTCTTGGTACTGGCCTTTCACTCATCTTCTTCCTCTTCTTCTCCTTGTTCTTCTGCTCAATTGAAGCTACAACCTACAGTGTATGTATCTCTTTCATTTATGGGAATGAATTTCAATCTTTCGATATTGCTCCATTTGGTCCCTATATTTTACCAAGCCTGGGCAGTTTCATCCCTATTGTTTCTGAAAGAAGAAGATGTGTTTGGGCAAAATTGTAAAAATAAAATATCAGCGGTCTTTGGCTATTGTTTTCCATGGTCTTTTTCCTTTGGTTCTCTTCTCCCCTTGGGTTTTGCAGATGGCCTTTAATATGCACACCAAGTTTTTATCTTATAAGCTCCTTCCGGGTGGCAGTTAAGCACATTATGTTTCGATAATTAGCTTATTAAGTATAGAAAAGTTTTTGTTTAACCTTAAAATCTTGGCTGATTTGAAAGGTATCTTGTGACTTCTAATTATCATGAAACTAATAAGATCTTACGTTATGAGATCAAGATTCAATGGTGCATATTGTAGTTCATGTATTGAATGTAATTTATAAATTATTTGTTAAAAAAAATTTTAATTTCTATTTTTCTTCTCAATTTCATGAAGCATCAATTTTTTTTCAGTTGAATATACATATATATGTATATATATTCATTTTGATAGATGAGTCCATATGTAGTTCCTATATGGCCCCTAATTTTTGCACCGAAAACATCAAACTGGATGGTGCCATCATAAAAGGATTTGATTGGACAACAAATAAAATTTGAAGGACTATATTAGTGAAAAAAAATCATTAAGAACAAAATTGATTTAACTAAAAAAGTTCAAGGACAAAAATGAGCAAATTCCCTTTTGTAAATGTTGGCCCCTACTTATAAATATTGATTCTTCCCATTACCAAATTTCAAAATTTTCCCTATTTCTTATCCAAGCTAGTCTAGTATCTTGTTTGGAACCCAAGTTTTTTGTCAAGTTTGTCTGCTACAAATTTTTTAAAAACTTTAACTACAGTAACCTCAAAAAATTTCTTAAAGTTTTTAAACTACACACTTCAAAATATTCAAAAATCTACACATTTTAAAAAATTTTTAAAAAACTTTTACAGTAAACTACAGTAACGTTTTAGACAAATTCTCAAAAAACTCACCTTCCAAACGGACATTAATAGGATTTCTTTCTTTCTTTTGTTCAATAGTTTAACCAATATATCCGATTAGACATTTTTCTGCTTACTGCAAAAGCAATAGCATATGTTCAATCCTCTACCAATATTTGTCTATGGTCCAAATTGAAGCTCTTCAAATTTCAGAGGTAAAGTATGTCATTTTCAACAAATTTTCTTGTTACAATTAATTATTAAATTAAGTACAATCAAGTTGGTCTAGTACACCCCATTGAAATGCTTAACCTTCCTCCTTCAGATCCCTTTTCATTCCAAAGTCAACCATCTAACGATCTCCAATCAAGAAACTAGAAGAAAGATCATTCGATGCTCAGAACCCTTTATTCAATTACCCTTTGCTAACAAATTAAACAAGAAGAAGCAATATGGGAGCACCCCTAAGGCTCATTGATTCTGCACTTTTCATCTACTTCCTCATTATAGCAATTGCAGTTCCACTTATTGATGGCCAAACAATTCTTCCTATAGACCTATATCCCAAGTTCTTGATCGAGTTAAAGAGCTGGTTCTTCAAACAAATTGACCACTATCTGGTTTTTGAGATGCCTTATTTCTATGTTGGAATTGCATGGTTTGAGCTTCTCTTCCAGTGGCCAGTAGCTTTGATGTGTGTTTATGGCATTGCAGCTGGAAAATCTTGGTTCGGTACTACGTCTCTGATTTATGGTTCCTCCTTTTTGACTAGCCTGGTATGCTTCTGCTGATCAAAACATGATTCCCCTTTTATATTTAGTTAATTACTCCCTCTTTTTACCAGTAAAATAATGTTTTGTTGTTAATGGCGGTGATCTGATAATTATGTAAGCCATCAACTCCCATCAGAAAGTTGGAAAAGTGGGTTGCCTGGATGAACAAAAAAAATAACCCAAAAAAAAAAGGATAAGAAGAAAAAAGAAGAGCAAAATGGAAGAAAGCATCTCACGTGATTTGCACATGGAGGACCAAAGACCATCAAATTTCACCACTCATTCCCACTTTATATATAAGTTCTTTATAGTATAATACTACAAAGTTAATAATGTTTTGTTGTTAATGGTTGGATGTTTAGTCTACTACTAAATTTTTTAAATATTTTACTGCTTCATAATTTCACAAGTAATTCGTGGTAAATTTTTCAGCATGGATCTTTTGTACACTAGTCATTTTCAGTCTACTTTAGCAGCTTATTCTTTATGATGGGATGGAGTGAGATTACACATGCAAGCAAGTGGTTGTTATGAGAAATTACTTTCTATGTAGATAAGATAACTACTGTTTCTTTCTTTCTTTCTTTTTTTTTAGGGATAATTTCGGAAATCTCCCCTTAGGTTTCTGATTATTTCACTACCATCTCTTGCAGTTCTTGAAAATATTACTGACTTCTCTTGAAACCCATATCCTTGTAACAATTTGCCCCAATTCAAAAAAAAGTAAAAAAAATAATTTTCAGTCTACTTTAGCAATTTATTCTTTATGATGGGATAGAGTGAGATTACACATGCAAGCAAGTGGTTCTCATGAGAAATTACTTTCCACGTAGATAACTACTGTTTCTCTTCTTTTTTTTTAGGGATAATTTCAAAAAACTCCCCTCACGTTTCTGATAGTGTCACTGCCATCTCTTGAGGTTTTGAAAATATTACTAACTTCTCTTGAAACCTATATTCTTGTAACAATTTATCCCAATTCAAAAAAAAATAAAAAAATAATTTTAGGTGTCATTTGATTCCAAAAGTGCCCTTCACCTATAATAATAGTAATTAATTTAATTATTCGATCGAACTTATTATTTCACTTATGGGGTCGTTATTACATATGATTAATAAAAAAAATTTCATCATTTGCAACCAAAAGGTAACAACTTTCGAAATTTAACAAGACAATTTTTTTTTTTTAACTTAAGACTTTTGTTATCACCATGGTAATAAGCAGAAACAATGGAACCGAAGTCTCCTCACGTCCAATTTCTTTTAATTGTCAAGTATATAGCAAACTAACCTAGTATTGGAGTCCTTTTCTATTTCCAAATTAAGTTTTCTAATATTATCAAATTATGGTTATTTTAGCTTGTAAATGGCTTAATTATTTTTCATATTTGAATCCTTTGATTTATCAGGTATATCATATATAATTCCTTTTATCTATCAAGTACATTAATAGAAAAAGTGCACCTAGTATTAATTCCCTTTTATATAGCAAATTAGTTGTTTTTTGAATTCCAAATTATGGTTAATTTAATTAGTAAATGTGTTGATTATTTCTCTCCACAAATGTGTGTAAATATCTTGAGGTATAAGGATAGTAGAGTCATTTCACGATAACAATGTGAGCATTGGATCCCATATTAACAATAAGGGAGGTAAGTGATATTTTCAAAACTTTAGAGAAAGGTAATGAAATTGTTAGAAACCTCAAGGGGGGTTTCTGAAATTATCTCTTTTTTATATGTATCCACTTAGAGAGTGGTAGCTCTCCTTGGTGGATCCCCATAAAAGTTTACATCCGGACCCCTTCAAATTTTCAACATCCACATATAAGAAATTTTGATCAGGCCTGCATTGTTAATCATCTTCTAACTTGTCTTAAATAGGTGTCTGGTACATCATCAGAACATCAATTTTGTAAGCCATTCTTTAAAGTTTAAACTGTATAATTTTCACAATACTCTTGACATATCATCTTTTACTTTAGTTTTTGAATTCTTATTTCAAGCATCATCTCAGCAGTAATTTCTGCAATTTTTGCACCAAAGATCTCATAATTTTTCTTTGTATATTGTTAAGGGATTACTGTTACAAACATGTTTTCAGTATCACATTGGCTTGTGGTATACATGTCTTTTATGTGATGTTGTTGACTACTTATTGCAACGATGATAAAATTAGAATCAGTATTATGTTTTTTATGTATGAAGCAGAAAAGGTTTCCTGACATCTTTCAAGCATTTACAGGCTGCAATACTAGCAGAATTGATAGGGTCAAAGAGAGCATCAGAGAAGCTGATAAGGTTTTACTACCCATTCTTGGGTTTTGCTGTTCTTTCCTTTGCACGTGGTCTGCTACGATATTCTGGCACATCTGCATCAATTGGCAAACAGCTGTGCTGAACAAGAAGAAGAAGGCTTAGATTCATGGAAAATTGAGAACGTCAAACAATCGAGATCATTGATAAGATTCCAGGGTCAGAGTGCAATAATTTAGGTTATTCAGAAAATAAATGTCATGCACTAGAATTGTTAAAGTTGTTTTAAGTTTCCAGGAAATTATCCTTTTTTTTTTTGTCGACACGATAGAAAAATTCGGCTCCTACTTCTACTCTATATTAAGGGGGAGGGAATGGGCCCAAATGGGTCAAGGGAGAATCGGAGTGGATTGAATCATCACCGGACCAAACGAATATTTTTGCACCTGTTGGTGAAACTTTCAGAAAATCTTGGAGATGAGTGCAAGTCTCCCTTGACCTGCACCCAAGAACGCTCTTCCTGGTGGTGGCCGACTACTCTAAAGGTGGCATTTTCAGGTAATACAAAGTTATTAATTCCATTTCCATTTGGAATTCGAAACACAAGAACTCGATGATTCCAACCATATATATACATTGGCTGAGTATTGACAATCAGTCAGAACAGTACGTTCTGTCGCTTGTTCTCTTTGAGCCAAACAGTAAAACAACATTTGTAGCAAAATTTCAATAGCATCTAAACTCTTTTTTTTTTTTGGGATAAAAATCAATAGCATATAAACTCAATATGATTGTTGCAGGTTGCAATACTTGCCGAATTCATGGGGTCCGGGAGAGCATCACAAAAGTTGTTTAGGTTTTACTACCCATTTGTGGGTTTCGCTCTTCTGGCCTTCTTACGGGGTCTGCTTCCATATTCTGGCAAAATCTTCAGCAATCCACCAAAGGCCTGCATTGAGTACGAAGAAGATGGCTTAAATCTTTGAATATCCAAGATAGGAGTAGGACCATGCTCATTATGTAATTCCAGAGTATGGGGCTAAGAAAGTAAATAGGTTCCTTAAATTTCAAGGCTTCAATAATTTAGTTTACTAGAATTAATGTCAGTTCTCTAAATAATGAATGTTTTATTATTAAACCAACAAGACTAAATTTATTTTTCAATTGGTAATTGGTCCTATCACTGTTGTTAATTTCTGCTACGGGTGTTATCAAGTTTAATCTAGCCAAAAACAAGAAAGGTCTAACCAAGCTGAATACTAGTGTTCAAGTTTGTTTGTTAATTTTAACGAATTTGACATTATGTTTAAGTTTGGCTTGTTAATCGATCAAGTTGAATTGGAACAAATTTTTATCGAGTCAAACTTGAGTCGAATTCAAATTGCTTGAATATTTTATATGTAAATCTCAAACATTATGGTGATTGAGTTAAGTTTGAATCGAATTTGAAAATTTACCGAATCAAAATGCTATTCATATTTGGTCTGATTAGTTGATAAACTAAAATTGAGCGAACTTTATTTGAGTTGAGCTCGATTTGTGTATCGGATAATTTGAATTAACTTTTAATCTTAACTTTTGCATAAATTTAGAACAAATTATACTTCTCTCAGTCTAGTTAAATTCTATTTTGTCATATGCACTCTGAGGTAAATGTTGTCTCCTAATAATTACACATACACACATATACATATACATGTGCACGCACACCAAAATATAGCATGTGAAAGTGCATTATCACAAGGTTCTTGGGAGTGTAATTCCACATCTTTGAAATGGACACACTGCATATTCCATATGTTGGAGTATACTTGAGACTAATATTAATAGATTTCAATATATAACTATGAATATCTTTCTTCTCAAAACAACTTATAATACATTGCAATTGCTTTTTTATATCTACTTTATACATTAGATCATATGGCACTTTGAATCACCTCACAAAGTTGATTCCATTTACACAATTTTTTTATTTCCTTTGAGTGGACAAGAAACCCTCAACCCCAACAATTCAAGGGTTCAAGAAAAGGATGTTAGAACTTAGAAGGGGTATGGTTGGCATAAAAAGAAACCGTATGGAGATAAACAACAAATAATGAAAAACACAGGGGCCCATCGCAACATAGTTAGAAGTTTTCCTACAACGCAGTTGAGTTGTCAACTTCTCCAGTTTCCAGATCCCCCTTTCACTGCCAACCAACCAAATAGAACACTGCCACAGAAGTCCCGCCACGAAGATTCAAGAATCTCGAAAACAGAACACCCCCTTACCCATCATAACAACCTTAACATTTCCTCAGCCCAAGAAAGAAAAATCATCCAACAGAATCAGTAATGGGAGCAGTTAGCAAACTCACAGATGCTGTACTGTTCCTCTTTTTCCTTACTGTTGCCTTGGCAGCTCCTCTTATTGATGGACAGACAATTCTTCCTTCAGACCTTTATCCCACCTTCTTGGTTGACTTGAAAAGTTGGTATGCCACAGAATTTGGGGATTATTTGGTTGCTGAGAAGCCACATTTCTTTGTGGGCCTTGTTTGGCTTGAGTTGGTGTTCCAATGGCCTCTTGCTTTGATTTGTCTTTACGGGCTTGTGGCTTCAAAACCTTGGTTGAACACAACCTGTTTGATATATGGATCATCAGTTTCAACTGCAATGGTAAGCTCTTAGATGTATGCTTTTGGTGAATGTTGGCTTACTTTTTTTTTGTTTTTCATATGAGAATTATATTTTGCTAAGCTTTTTAATCATAAAAAAATGAATTGATCTGAATGGGATCTGTTATATCACTTCAGAAGGGTTGTTAAATTGAATGCCAATGTGTTATGGGATCAGGAAATGCTTAGATAATCTTGAGAGATGTCATAGTTCAAGGAACAAACTCATTGCAGAGGATATCTTGACTGGCTGACGATTTTACGTTCTGATTGGATCTTCAAGAAAGATGGAGTTTTTACGTTTGAACAATGACAAAGGAACAATTTGGTTCACTTTGAGTCTGATTTGCTTTCAGTAGCCAAAATTAGACTCTTATTGTAGAGTGATATTAGCAGTGAATGAATTTAGTAGCAAAGCTATAAATGTTGGTATTGTGAATCTGTTCTTGAGATTTTAATCTGATTTGAAACTTTCTGTGACTTGAAATTTTGAGACGAGGTCCTGCATTCTTGATCATCTTGGAATCTTAAGCTACATAAGTCAAGACTTGTATTCAATCAATTTTGGAAGTTCACCAGGCATTATGTTCTTAGTGACTCTAGTAGTTAATAATAGATAGCCCAAAAGTATTCTGAGCAAGATTATTGAGTGAGTAGGGAACACGAAGAGATCAGGAGCTCGAGTTAGGGTCTCAATAAGTTCCCCGTCAAATACATCTTTTGCGCACAGTCTGTGGTTAAACCCTTCTTACCTCCTTAACATCTTTACTCCTATTTATCTGTCCTAATTTTTGAGGGAGACGAGAAAACTTGCTTGCCATGACGTTGAGCACAATTTAGACAACCTATCTTTCCTGTTCCATTTTCTGATGAATTTCATGCAATGCAGGTTGTGATACTGGCAGAATTAACAGCATCTGGGAAGGCATCTGATACACTGATAAGGATTTACTTACCATTTTTGGGTCTATCTGTTATAGCCATTTTACGTGGTCTGCTGTCGCATCCGGGCAAATCTTCTGCAACGGGCAAAAGACCTGTAACCAATAGGAAGAAGAGGGTTTAAATTCTTTGTAGTTCGAAGTGTTCTAGGTTTGTTCAATTTGGTCTAGAGTTTGCTGCAAACTGTTTTTCTCCAGAATTTTGCGTGTCCTATAAGATGACTTCTATGCATTTTTGAAGTTTTCAAGTGTATCACCTATCAGTTCACAAAATTTATGCACAAACTATGATGAGATTGAGATAAGCTACCACAAAAAGTAGCTGAAATTTTTGGTTTTCGCAAAAAACATTGGAAAAGGCAGGTTCCCAGCAAGTTGCTCAGAAATGTTTGCTTAACTGGTTTGTGCTTGTAAAGGTGCAACTACGTTCTTGAATTCAAGTTTCTTTGCTCTGGAAAGCAGTTTCATAAAATGCTGAATAATCACTAAGGCCCAACTGTCGTGACTTTAATAATCTCTGACCCTAATGGATTGCAGTTGCAGGCTAAACTGAAGTAAACTGAACCAGCATACAAAATGATTCAACAATGAGAGGACCAGGATTCCTTGCCCATATGAATATGATGTCAAATACTCTTTGCATTTTCAAGGGACTTATTTTTGTTTTTTCGGGCTAAAATAACGATTAAATGTTATATACTAATACTGTATACACTTTTATCATTGAATTCATGATATATGTGTAAAAGTTTGAATTCAAATTCAAATTTCGTATAGTTGTCATTATATATAGTTAGTGTAGGAAAGACTAATTGTAACAAAACATTAGGAAAGATATATTTTTTTTATTCCACTGTTTGGTTACAACATGCCGTTAGCCCATTGGAAATTATTACTCATTGTTACTGCTAGGGTCTTCGGACTCTTATGTGCTCTTACTAAAACATAACTTTTTGGTCTTACAGCCTCAAATCAATTCTCCGGTAGTAAAGTGCTATTCAAAAGAAAACAATAGCATAATGAGCAAAATTTGACCCTTTTTCTCCTCTTTTTCTTCTAATGAAAAGAAATAACAAGTTAATAACAATTAAGCTAATTCGAAATGGAGGTAATTACCTATTCATTGAATGCTACTTTAATGCTCTCGTCTGCTAGTATTCCTTTTGTGAAGTAGACAAAGTCTCAAGTGTGTTGTTGAGCTTTAGAGATTCACATAATTCTCATCTTTTACTCCATCAGATTTTCGTCAAAAGCAATTGTTGATCTCTGGACACAATTATTACTTTTTTCCTCATTCCTTATTCACTTTTTTTTTTTTTTTTTTTACTTTTTTCCTTTTAGAGTGGATAAGTAGTGGTTCCCCACCTTATTCTCTTTTTTAAGTTTAAACTATTCTAAACCCAAAATTTTCAAGTGATAAATTTTTTTTTTTTTGCTTTATTGCAATTGTTATCTGCATGTTTAACTATATTATTGTGGTTATAGCATTCTTAAGACATGACCATTTCTATTTCCTTTTAACTAGGCAAGAAAATATTATGGAGTAGGTATGGACGGAATTGCTAAGAAGTTAGCAGGCACAAAAAGAAATCACTAGGCCAATAACAACTAAAAGCAATTATGCTGGGAAGCCAACTCTTATGTTTGATCCCCAAAAAAAAAAAAAAAAAAAAGTCAGCACGTATAATTCCCAGATCCCATTTTATTATCAGACAAACCAAACTCATCATCCCATAATGATTACCATCCTTAAAATGACATCTTACATTGATGTTTCTAACAAAACAAAGAGACTGTATCAAACAATGGAGCTCATACCAAGCTCATGGATGATGTGCTTTTCCTTTTCTTTCCATTCACTACCATAACACCTCTTCTCGTTGATGCATTAATAATGGGTGTGTTTGGATAGTAAAATCTTTGTCAAATATTATTTTACTTGCATCATAATTACAGTGTCAAATCGAACTTTTTTTCAACAGTGTTCTTATCTCACATATATCACATCACAGAAAATGTTATAGTAATTATTCAAAATAATATATCAGATAATCTCCTGTATTCCTTCTTGACTTGAAGAACTCTTATTTATAAAAAAAAATAAAATAAAATTGATGACTATTGATAACACCTCGTCTTCCAATGCCTTCTTGCTGTATCATGTCTTTTTAACCTTGCGGCCTCAAAATCTTGGTTCAACAGAACTAGTTTGATCTAAGGAGCATCCTATTTAACGAGCCTTGTGAGTAAAATTAGTGTATCCATTCTCTTATTGAATGGATTCTTTTCCTTTAATCTATCTCAAATTTTAATTTATTCTTTTCAGTTTGTGCATCTCAACAATGAATTATTTCTACCAATTGACACTAAGAATTTATAAGAAACCCTTCCCCAATCGCAAATTGAATATATTAAAGTACATGACAATTCCCGGAAATAATTCAGTCTGAATTTAGCGTGATGAAAACTGGGTCTTTTGGTTTTTCCTGCTCCAGCCATCATACTGGTCTTTTTTCCACTTTCTGAAAAGTCCTCA